CAATGAATCTTCTTTTCCATTAATGTCAAACTTACAAATACATTATTACTTCCTGTGAATAAAATGGATGTAAGAAATACAGCATGGCAAGCATTATGGCTTTTGTAGGTAAGAGAATAATTTCTTCTTTGGTTACTCACTACCGTGATGCTGGAAATTGTTCTCTGAGGATGAGTCCCTGGCTTTTTTATGTGGTCGTACAAAGCTACCTGGGGCCCTGGTCTGGGACCTAATTGAAGGCAATGCCAATTCTGCCCCGGGGAGCGGCAGGACCACTGGGGATAGTGCCAAATCCTCATGGGTTTTGAGGGCATGGGCCCATATGCTTTGGAGAAGAGTCTTATTTCACAGAGCGCTGTTCTTCTGAACTACTTCCATTTACTTTAATATTTTCCTCCCTTAAATAAAATCTTTTAAAGCAGGGACTGTTTTACTCCATGTTCAATAAATGCAGTACATACATGTAAACGATACACACATTTAATGACAGTGAGATAGAGTACCTAATTCCCTGCTTATCAGGCAGCCATTACCAAGAGGCTTGAGAAGATGAAGCAAAATAAAAGTTCAACTTCTCACCTTCGACTGAGGCATTTGATTTAAGGTGTCTGTGTGCTTTTTTTCTAGTGGAAATGGAACAAAATCAAGCTGATGCTAAAAGAGTATGTACTGTAAATCCCTACCCATCTCACTTCTCTGTGCAGTACAGAGAGGCTGAAAGTATTATCAGTAACCTGAGCTGCCCACTGAAAAAGAAATGATCAAAATACAATACATACAGTCACTACGGAGGGAATCGTTTAGAAGCTGAAAGAGCGGAAAGCTGTCCCAGGTGTCTGGGGGTTGCACCTCTAACGCAGCGTCCATATCCACTGCAAACAGTGACAGGAAGGTCTCCGCGTGCTCAACCATTAAGTCTGACCACCAAGCAAAGGCCTTCAGAGTTGGTAGAAAAAGATAATAAAGAAGTATGTTAGTTCTAATAAAGCACAGGCAAAGATGTTAGGCCACATATCTCAAAAAAAATGTGCATCCCATGGAAACTACCTTTATTGTAAAGAGAACAGTGCTTTAAAGTGCTAGCCTGCACGGACAGTGCTAATCACAGGAATTAGGCACTGCTATTTTAATACAAAGATTTCCTGTAGAGGATCTATTCGGAGCGCCACCGTAAAGGCACGCAGCTGTAACGTGGCAGAGAAGGTTTTGTCTGTTCAATTTACAATAAATGACTCCATTCATCTTTAATTATGCGAGTTATCAGAAAAAATCAACTAATTCTTATTCTAAAGTACAGAAATTTGGGAGTTTCTTCACTGTGCTTGTGGGTTTTCTCCTGTGTTTTTCAACGGTTTAAATTTTATTTGGATTCACTACTTCTATTTGTCTTGAAAAACTAGAAGCCTAAGACATTAAAATCTGTCCTAAATCACTCACACTCTCCTTTAGAGATATTTCAAGCATCACCAATAAAAGTTACTACAGCACTGTTCATTTTACATGGTTAGCTACACACACCCATAGAAACACACTACCACCTTCATAACGCTACTGATTAGGAAACCGATTACAAAGCTCTATTATCAACATGCCAAGATAAAAAACAAACAAAAAAAATCTACGGCAAGCCTATATTTTCACAGAGGCAGGGAAAAAATATATCTAAACTTGAAAACCAAAAAATATCAGTGAAGTAACTCATTCTCATGCACATGGGTCCTTAAAATTCACTGTACGGGCTCTCTGACGTGACATTCACATCATACATGGCTCAGATGTGAATGCTGCAAACGCATGCATGCGTGTTTAGTAATCACTTCTGGCTGGGAACATGCAATATGAGAAGTGCTGTCATTAGGACCATGTGCTGTCATTTTGAAGTGACAGGAAATTACTCAGTGACTTAAAGGACCTAAGAAACAGCTTTCCAGCACTTTGCAAGAAAAAGAAACCTCTAGCATAGGCTCAAGACTGGAGATGAAACGGAGAAGACTGGGAATAGATGAATCAGTTCAAAGAGGAATTGCCAGTCACGGAGTGGTATTTTTTGTAGATTTTAGCAGACATGAATAATCAGAATGGACTTTCATTTTCTCCGGGTTCTGTTTTGATTCACTGATGAAGAACTGCGCTGATGTGCAGTTGTGCAGAGCACAACTCCAATTGCTGGTTTACTCAGCCATGGAGAGGGAGCAGTGCCCCAAAACCAGGTTACTGCCATGTTCCCCTTTAATTCTTCGTATTTTGGCCTGATTTCTCGGCTGCCAGTGATATCAGCAGGGGGCCTTTGGGACTATTTCCACTCCCTCATCCCCCCAAAATATAAAGCAGACTGACATTGCCCCGCTACTATTCTGTGAGTTGACATAAAACTGCTGTGAAGACATGGATATGGCGTTGTGCGCCCAGAGCACATCCAAGATGTAAAATAACCAAAATAACTGAATAACCCCCAAACTAATCTTAGTATTGGGCCTGCTCTGTCACGGGGGTGAAGGTGTGGACGAGGTGGGCTGTGCCGTGAAGGCACAGCTTCGGTGTGCCCAGGGGCAGGCTGGGCAAATGCCGTGGCCGGAGCAGCAACACCAGCAGGTTACAGTGTCCCTGTGGTCATGGCGTGGGGACAAGGCGGCTACACCGGGCTCCTTCGCCTGCAAACTGCCCCCAGCCCCACGCACACGGAGGAAGCTGTCGGGCACCGCTGCAGCAACACCTGCCCTGGGGTGCTTGGAAAGCTCAGGGGCAGCGGTGACGGTGGCCCTGGGCATTTGCAGAGTTGTTACTCCGGAAAAGCTGAAACCGGAGCGAGGGAGCCCAGAGGGCTGAGCGAGGGCTGAGCACACGTGGCAACGCTCTTCGGCTCCTCCTCCCACCTCTGGTGCTGGTGTCCCACTGAGCGCCCGGGAGTGCTGCCTCGGGTGGTGTTGCACCACTGCAAAACCACACAGGAGCCGAAAACATCAAGACTCAGGTCTGCTCCCGATGCCCGCTCAAACCTTCTCCCCAAAGCGCAGGTGGCAAATGAGCAGATGCTGAGCAACGGGGCTGCGGAGGGTCTTCTTAAAATTAGCAGTGCTTGTCCATGGTTTTCAAGGATGCCGGGGCTGTCCTTGCACTGAGGTGGTTTCTCTGGCTGTGCCTCTGCCTGCCAAGAGCCTGCCACGCTGTGTCCCCATCAGACACTGCCCACAGGTCTGCGGGCAAAGAGCGATCGCTGTGAAGGACCAACGGCAATCGGCATTTGGGGGGGAAGGAAAAGAGGGGAGGCCAAAGAATATCTTCTGCAGCAAATCCCAACGTAAACACTTCAGAGTCCTGCAATAAAAACCTGCTTCCATGAAAAAGGAAAAAAAATGCTATTTTTAAGAGAAGTTACGAAGAAAAGCATGTGATCATTTGTGAAAAAAAATATGCCCAAACCAGTCACAGTTTCCCTTTTGCTGGAAAAGTCAAATTTTAGCTCCGTAAGTCTCTAACTTATGTCAGGATCCTCAGCCTCCTCCTCCCTAGCCTCGGTGAGCAGGACCTTCCTGCGGTGGGAGCGGTAACACCGTACTTTGAAAATCTCCTTCAAGATGGTAACATGTCATTCATTTACCATCTACTTACCTGCTTTGCTTAAAACACAATGTAAAGGGGGAAAAAAAGTGTGCTTTCTAGCCAAACACACCTATTATTGTATATTTTACACATGGATACACATGTATATATGTATGACCTCAAGGAGTTAAAATACATATATACATATACACATACGTATACATAGAGAGAGAAAACACAAGTTTAAAAATAGGTGAATGGCATCGTCTCTGGCATTTGTCATCAGTCATCCAGAGAGAGGGAAAGGGAGCTGGGAGACATCTGATGGGAGAGATGACACAATGACAGAGACCTCCCGCTCTCACAGATTACAGTCGTAGGCACGCGGTTTCTGCTGCATTTCTGCCTGCGCTGGTTTGCTTCTCTCTTACGGGTAAGACAAAGGCAACTGACTAGACACGGTACTTCTGTTGTAATGTTTTTTGAAAATTTTCCATGTTCTGAGTATTATTTCCTGGGTTATCATTAGCGAGTCTGCCTGGATATCCATGTGGGGAAAAAAGGGGCATGTTTTAATTGCAAAACCTGTTGGTTTTCAGTAAATTAAGGCATTTCTTCAGTAAGTGGTGCAATTTAATTTTCTGCTGAACATCCAAAGTAGACCAAAGAGTCGCACCTCGCAGGTTGAACCTTCTCCAGGTGAATGGACAACATGTCAAAAAAACCTCACCTGGAATAATTTGAAAAAAAAAAAGTGCAATACCTCAGCAATTCTCATTGCACAGTAAGAGCATAATGTGGCTACAATGCATAATAAAAATCAGTGATAAACCACCCAGCCTCTTCCCTCTCTTCTTTTTGGTGCAATTCAAAGTGTGCAGAGAGCTGGCCAACTGCCTGCACGCTGCTGAAATGCCACAGCCACCCTCAGGACAGGGATTCAGTAACGTACCGACAGCGTGCCGGGCTTCTGGAGAGAGATGAATTTCACCCTTCCAGGTCATCGTTCAGAACAAGGGACCGGGATGCCTCCTATCCATGTTGGCATTAACCTTCTGTCTCTAATCAAAACCTTCTGAGACAAAAGATGCTGGAGAACAGTTTTGAGTCTTCCTCCTGGTGAGGATCTCGGCAGCATGGCTGGCTGGACGTGCCCGGCCCTGCAACCGTTTCCTTCAGAAGTCTACTATTTTCAAAATAACCTGCATTTTAAAACCAGCTCCTTCCCGGCTGGTTGTACATCCAGCCTGTGCTGGTGATGAGTGGAATAAAACACTCGTTATCCTCGGACAGGTTATCACAGCTCACGCGTAAGCGCAGCGCTCTCGAGCACCCCCTCGCTTTCCTAAAAATGAAGTTTATTTCACTCCTCACCCCATATATTCTCTCTCTACATATAAATACTGTATATCCAGTACAAGGCACATACAGACAAAACCAGAGGAAGACCACTACCATTCTAGGCACTCGTGTAGTACTTAGTCCATCTCCACCACAGTGTACTAGAGGTCGGGTGAATGCAAAACGACAGAGGTAACAACAGGCTGAGGAGAGAGTCCAGGCAGGTAGGGTTGTGTTGGGATGTAACTGCAGCGCTCGTAAAATATACCCATTGCTACATGCATGGACCGGACTACTATGCCACATTTACCCTCCTGTGTCAGGCTACCAGCTCCGCAAGCAGCTGACTCGAAGTTGCTGTTACATTCCTCGGTCAAAGTTACGGAAGCGAGGGCAACCCGGGTAAAATCCCAGTAGGAAACATGGCACTGAGAGGGCATGCACGAAATATGACAGGAGTGACTCGTTTCATTCGGTTTAGTCACATACCTCTTTCCCCTGCCAGGATCATCCAAGATTGAATGAACAGTAGAAAAACAGGGAGGAAATTTAAATATGCAATCAGGCATTAGTTGGGTGTCGTGGATTGTTGTGTATTATCAATAAGTTAAATTATACTGCAAATTTAATATACACTGGAATGATTTTTAGGTGATTGTGAAATTATTTATCAAATGCTCTTATAATGCAAAATATAGTGAGTATATATATCAATGGGAAGGAAAAGAGAAAATAGTGAATCAGTGTTACATTACCTACAGTCATAAACAATAACTGTTCACTCTGAATTTTAAAACGATTAGCTTTTCAATACGTATCCAAGAGCACCAGATTTATAGAGAACTCAGGGCTCAATCCTGCAAACACTTACACGGGTACGCAACGTCACTTGCTTGGGCAGAAATGTCCCGACGTGCTGAGGGCGGGACTACAGCCAGCAATGTCAGCTGCCTGTGGGTCAAGAGTTTCCAGGATCAAGCCTCATGGTTTTCTGGTCTATATTTGACTATGACATGGTTTCAGTGGTTTTAAAACATGAATCTGTCCATTAAAGTGCTTTGAAGAGTTAAGAGCAGTTGTATTAGGCCTTAGATAACCCAAATAATGAGTAATAGAGAATAATTCATCCTAACCTCCCTGACTAATAACTGAGGTATTCCAATAAGCCAAGGCAGAAGAGGCCAAGGGGAAACCAGGTGAGTTACTGATGTACCGCAGGGGCCCAGGGAAACCCCTGGAAACAACCTGAACGCTCAGAAAGGGACAAAAAAAGAATTCTTTTATTTTGTGGTGGTTTTCCTCGCTACAGCTCTGGACGGCAGGAGCGGTAAGCTGCTGCAGGGACCCCGCTAATGCTGTCTGGAGGCACAAACACATGACATTATTCGGAAGGACGACCTTTCTGAGAAGTGGACAGGCGTGCTCTGGCATGTAGTTGGTGGTGAATATATTTGGCCAGATTCGGCTCCTGCTGGCGCTGTATGAAGGGCTGCAGACTGACGTAGAGGAGAGCAGAACTTAATTAATTCCTCCTTTAGCCCTCCCTCCCCTCTGCAAAAGCAATCTTCCTGAACTGTACTTTGCCTTCATCGCACTTGAGCACCATTATTTAAGAATACTTTTGGCTTTTAAAGAAGATAACCCAGCACCAGTTGGGAAGACATCACGCAAGTATACAAAGCTCCCAGCAAGCCACCGGCGCCTGCTGAAGACCTGGGGGACACGACCTCGCAGGGTGCCGCTGCTCACCTCCGCATGGTGTTCTTCGTTTTGCTGTAGGACTTCAATTACCAATTCTGCCAGACGTATTGTATCTTCTAACTTTTTAGCTGGTGTGACTAACCGGCCTACATTTTCTGTAGTACAAGAACTCGAGTTAAAAGGGAGGCAGGATGAAAAGCTAGACGTACAGTAAGTTATTTTAGAGGTTTAAAAAAAATTCCCATAATATTCTACAGCTTTAAAGATCTTTTCATGCATATGTTAAATGCTTATATAATTAGTACTGAGCAAACCAGAAAGCCACATTCGTTATTATACTATGAAAATACAGTGCTCCAGCTCCAAATTTCACAATGCTGTCAGAGTTGTTTTGCTTTATGGTGAGATGGCGGCACTTTATTAGCTCAAATAAGAACATCGCATTCCCTAAAGACAGCATCTGGCCACTAATATAAGAACAATATGTATCCTTCAATGTAGATGATGCTATTATAGAAGTCATGTCTATATTATTTTGAAATTCTTTTAAGAAGATCAATTCAAACAAATCTGCTTGTACTTTTAATAAATTGTCAGACTCGAGCAATTTAAATGTCACCTGCTACTGAAAGCAAAAATTGCAGGTCTGCCTTGCTCCAGGATTTAACTCCAGAAGGGTCAAGGAGTTACGCATGCTGGAGGGAGTGGAAAGTGGTAAATCCCACTAGGTGTTCATAGGTAAGATTTATATGGGAAAAGAGATGCAACTTTACAGCAAAAACCCCGCAAACAAACCAAAGAGCTTAAATCCTGGAGCTTGTGTTTAGCTATATAGAGCCATTTTGCAGCGTTTTCTGAAGACTTTTAAAAATAATTAAATTCTATTCTTCTAGGTAATTTATATTATTAATAAGATATTTAACATCCAAGGCGGTAACAATCTGAAACATTTAGAGTATTTAACTAGAAATAATATAGAGAAAAATAAACTAATCACATTTTCATTGAACGACAGAGCTGGCTGGGTGCAACCGAGGGGGTTTCTATGAGCTGACACTGCGGCTCACCTCCCCGAGGTGTGCAAAGTCTCCCTGCGATGGTCGCCCTGAGGAGAAGCAGAGCAGGAGACCTGCTGCCCGGGCATCCACCTACGCTGCAGCACGTCACCACGTTAACCACCGACGTGTCACTCTGGGTGCCAATCCCGGCTCTCTAGTGCAGCTACGGCAAAGGATGGCATTGCGCTTTAGTAGCTACACCAGCCAATTTATACCTCTGCACCAATGTACGTACCTCTGCGCTCCATGATATTAAAGCTGGAGATTTCATAAACAGGTGAATACCAAAAAACCAAAACCAAATCATTCTGCTGAATTAGCAGTGTACAACAGACCGTACGTGCCCAACACAGCAAAATGCTAGCTGTGCAGGCATTGAAGCACCGTTACTAGCAACCACCCTGGGATTTCCACAGGAGCCCAGCTAAGGCAGCAGCTTGGGTCGTGCCGACATGCAAGGTGCTGGCTCGACATCTCGCTCCAGCCTTCTGCACACACTAGTTTTTTGCTAGTGTTTAGGTCTTCTTTACTGATGGGACAGAAACTTGTGGTTGCACGCAGGTGGCACCGCTCTGCTCTCCTGGGTCACCTGCTGAAGGCTCAGTGAACTTCGAGGACTTAATTCTCCACCTCAAAATCTTGCCTGCTCCCGGTTTTCCCTGAATACCTGTTCACAGGTAACGAATTTCCCATGAAAAGGAAAGCCACGTTTTTCAGAACAGCCGCATTTGAGCGGCCAAGCGAGGGGTACACGGCTGGTCTTCAGAGGAGCTCAGCAACCCGGTCAGCAGAAATCTGGCATTGCAGGTGCTCAGCTCGGCTGAGAGATGCAACGTGGTAAAGCACCATGCAAATGATCTCTACATTTTTGCTGATTTATGCCACAGACAGGGGCCTTGGGGGTTTCTTCTCCAGTTTTCCTTTCATTTCTTGTATCACTGAAATGAAAAACTATCCGGGTTCTCCTTAACATCATTTATTGGGCAAATACTGAAATTGGAGAACTGCTGGTTAGCTCCTCATTCTTTCTCCTATTCAATCCAGCACCTCACTGACTAAAAGAAGGAGAAACTTCTTCCTTTTGTGCAAAAGGAATCCAAAGACACGTCCCTTAGTAAGCTCTGGTTGTTTCTGCACCTCCGAAGCCAAGGGGAAGCTTTTCCATTGATCAGAGCAGCATCAGGCCCATTCTCATTTGCAACACTGATCTGCTCTCAAATACAACTAAAAGACAAAAGTGTTAATAAGAACAACTGCTCAGAGATGCTGTCTTTAAAGAAAATATTGATGCTTATACAACTTTGGCAGCCAGCAGATGTCAATCTTAATTTTTTTTCATCTTATTTTAAATATTTCCCTGGTTAAGTTACTATACATCAGAATATTCTGCTAAGATAGCTGGAGCACTGACAGTTACATGAAACGTATACGATATACTTATCAAACATTTCATCCAACATCATGTAAAGCTCATACATATTTATAGTTTTCATGCAAAATGTTATGCAACAACAATGTTATTTTGTGCTGACGTTGATATTTGAAAATGTTGCATATGTCAGACATTGCTAGACAAAAAAATGTGGACATTTTGAAATAAATGCTACCTCTAAATCTCTAAAACCTACCACATCGCGCTAGGTATTTTGTATAAAGCTGCACATGAGAACTAGCTTTCTACTACTACACAAGCAACTGCTAGACTAGCAAACCACTGAATAAAAGGAAGGAAGACTATTACAGTACTTGGCGGCTGTTTGGCCATGCCTTTGAGCATATGATTTATCATGTTAGTCTGCGTTTGAGGAGATGATGGTGGCCCAGCCGGTGGCTTAGGCTTGGACGGACGGGCTGCTTGTGCATGACGGAGAGAGACGCCAAAAGTAAAGAGACAAATGACTTCATAAACAGTGACAAAAAGATGGAAACTTCGAAAAGAACATAAGCAGAAATGATCAAATACAAATGGAATAAGCTGCTGGGTTTTTGCTTATCGGTACGTGAAGTATTACACGGTAATGACACCATCTGACAACACATATTCTAGAAGTCAGCAGATTTGAACATCCTACGGTACTGTGCAATCAGAAAGTTAAAAATTCAACACAAGTATGAAACTGCACTTCATGCAGCCATGTGAGGAAATTGAAATAGGATAATTCAGTTAAAACTCTGGAATTCAGCAAAGGTGAAGTAAAAAGGATGACTTTAAGTCAGTGCCTCGGTGCTTAGGTACATTTAGCAATAGAATAATGAGCCACAGGAATTAATTGCTTTGCAAATATCAATTACACATTTTAGAATTAAACGTCACTGTTGGTTAAAGGGAGCTATAAAATATTCTTGTGCAATTTAAACATGTAAAAAAATCTGTCACTTAAAAATGTGTGGTTCCTGATCGTTTCCAGCTCATTTAATTATTTTCAACTTGGAATTCTAGTGGCTTTTATATTCTGGGTTGAATCATATATAAAAACTTGCCAGCTCTATCAAATATGTTACTTGCTATTCCAAATGTTAGAATACTGCAATCAGGACTTGACCCATCTGTCATATAGTTTACAATATCAGCATAGGAAAAATTCAAAGAAAATAGCCTTTCCTTTTACATACACTCAGAATAAATTACATACTGTGAATATATTAACACAATAGTTTCTATTCCATTTAATAACAGTTTTTAGCAGCATTGTGACTATTTTTAATAATGCCATTTGCAAGGAATCTGGCATATTTATCTGGACATTCTATTGCCAAAAGTCCTTGCCATTTCGCTTGCATTTTCCAGTGGGGAAAAAAAAAATCGGTTGGCTTGTGCAAAGTAGATTTCTGATTGCTTTTAATTCTCACAGAATTATAACACTTATCAAAGTATAATAAAGAATATTCGAGTAAAGCATTACTTAAAGAGTATGACTTAGGTTGGTTCCCCTCTCCATACACAGAGATAGATATACATACATACATAAACACACATACAATGTGCACGGAGGCACACACACACACACATTTTTAGTCTTTTAAGCTGTATAATGATTTAAATCAGACTCTCAGATTCAAGCTACTGGTTTCTGCCTTTTGCTTTGAAAAACAAATCTATTTGTTCATCTCTGAAGTCATCCTGATCCTTGTTCAATGTTTATCAAGGGTGGCTTTGTCCCCAGAAACAAACCTCTCAGCCTCAAGTGACAAAAATAACTGCTTTTTGGGCATTGGCCTAATGACTTTTACTCTAATTTAAAACATAAGCAAGAATTTCATTTGGCTACTCACTGATGGCTCCTGAGCTCAACACATAGGATGAATATGTTACTGCCCATCACTATGGAGAGCAGTTTGTGCCAAGGTCCTCGTGTAGGAAGGGACCATGGGGAGAGGGGACCGTACATCTCCTCCCACCCGCATCTGGCAACCGCGTGGTGGGAACCCCTCGCCACCCAAGGGGGTCTGTTGGGCTCCGAAGTTGGGAGAGTCAAAGAGAACGAGCTCCTCCTAAGAGCGTCAAAGCCAGGGGAAAATTGCATCCCAGAACTGCATCCCATCGCATCTCTGGGCACTGCGACCTTCAAGCACCCTTAAATGTGAGTCCAGCCCCTGCATCGCCAACAGCTACCCATCAAAAAACAGATTTCAGACTTCACGGACATCCAGACCCCGTAGTGTTAAATGGGCCTGACTCGTACAAATGTTTTCTGTCCTAGGGAAAGGTCATTAGCAGAGAAGGAAGAGGAGAAAGAGGCAAGAGATGCAGCAGCACCGGGACTTCACAAATTGCTAGTGCAGCGCATACAAAACAGCTTGGAGGAGGCTCCCGCTCTGCAGTTGTCAGCGCTGTGCCCCGGGGTGGCTTCCACTTCGCCGGGAGGCCTGCGAGCAATCCCCCCCAGCGCCCTACCCCTGCTCCTGGCACCTCCCCGCCGCCACCGGCTCTTGAAAACAAGCTTCCACATGGGATTACAGCAGGTTAAGCAACAAATTCTTAATGTAATTCTGATCTGGTCCAATCTGCACAAATATTCAGCTCTTTTGTTCATTTAAATTTTTCAGACCCAAATCCAGGGCTCTTGCACGATGGCTGCAAAACCACCTGGAGCCGA